GGACCAAATAGGTCTCGGTGAGTCCGCCGGCCGGCGTCTACCGGCCGATTTTAGGTCTCAACTGAGCGGAGTTGTCTCAGAAAGCCTTCGGGAGCTCAAAAACGATCAATACGTGTAGGAGGAGCTCAAAAAGAGGAAAATTCGGGCTAAACGCGCGCTGGGGAGCCCAATTTCAATAGGCGCCGGCCTCCGGCCCGGAGGCATGACCCCTCATCCGGACCAATCGTGCCCGCCCGGCCTCGGAGGCTTGTCCGGATCACGACCTGAAATTTCGGTGTCCCGGGATCAGGCCTTTTTGGGCGCTTTCGGGGGTCCTCCTAAGACTCACGTCCGAAGGCGTCTGGGACCAGAGTGGTCTTGCAGCGCGGGCTGTGTGGGCTCGCGATTGTGAACCATGGTCTAAGCCAAGTCTCGGCTTGATACCGACATCTTGTCCGTGTTGCAAAGGGAGCTGGATTTTCTGGAATACACCAATGCCAGTGGTAGACAGAGTTCAGAAAATATGCCTAGTACAAAGCAGCTTGAAGAGCTGAGGAGCTTAAGATGAACTTTCAATTTCATCAGGAATCAGGATCGAGAATGCAATTGAGTATCTTACTGCTCGTTGATCTGGATTTTGCGCGACCACTGATGTGCATCGGTTCATATTCAGAGAGCCATATAGTGATTGCTGGCATCCAGGCCTGACATTCGCCGGACAGTGGCATTGTGGAAGATCATGTCAAGAGTCCAGACACAAGAATTGTGCTGGCAGCGGGCGCATTCACTGATTCGTCAATGAGCTCCTTTACATGCCTGTCTCTCCTAGACAACAACATTCGCGGCAGTGAGGAGGGCACGTGGTGTAGTTGGTTATCACGCTCGCTTAGCATTCGATGCATTTGCGAGAGGGGTCCGGTTCGATCCCGGACGTGTCCATTTCACTCTCGTAAGAGATATTTTTTCCCGACCACTGCGCCATCCTGGGCCCTCTTCCTCGCGTCGCCCTGCACTGGCGGACTTTACAATCCCTGTTGAAACCGTCGATATCTTTCGTATCTCCTTGGCAGTGGTGGCGCCACAGTGCTTAAGGAGCAACGCACTTTCTGCTACAGTCGTCGTCGTCTGGGCTGACAAGCGAGCCTAGGCTAGTCTGCACCATGGTGTCAACGGTAGCCACAGCAGCGAGCGTGCAGGAAGCACAGGCAAGTCAACCATCTCCATCCTATGCATATAGCCCTCACAATGCCTCAGGACTCCTATCATAAGGGCGCAGTCGCGGAACTGGCCAAGGACTTCAACAAGGCGTTCCGGATGTATGTGAAGGCAACGGAACAGTACCTCCTCCTCAGCAATGGCACTGCAGATGTAAAACTACGCAGTCTCTACAAAGCAGAGGCGACTAAGTCACTGGAGCGTGCGGAAAAAATCAAAGCGGTCAAGCAGGATCTCACCCCAGTCGTGAAAGACGAGCTATCGCCAGGTGACATTATCTTGCTCCATGAGCTATGCCTTATAATGACGCTGACGGTCTGGAATGGTTTCAGGGGAGCAGATGTACGTGATTCGAAGGTCGTCACTCATCAACCAAGGGTTTTTTCCGCCTTGGGACTCCCAAGAACCGCCAACTTCTTCATCGGAGTAGGCTAACATCCGCCGGTTGTATAAGGGACTCGCATTACTCATGTCGTTCTCAGACAACCGCCTCTGTCTGCAGAACAAGTTGAACAAGCCGCGAAATGGTGCAGACCCCGTGCTTCTCACGAACACCGACCTCAAGAAGGGGATGGTCTGGATCCGCAAGATGTCACGCAACACATCGTCTCAGACTGCTCGGTGTGCGCTGCGTTGGTCGTTGCGATCGATCATGATCGTCGCTTTAGTTCCAAGGTCCACCTGGTCTCGTCGGGTTTGCGAGTACGGAGTTGACTCCTGTTCCAGATGATCCTCTCGTCTTTGCACCCACAAGCAGAATCCGGGCAGTTCCAATGCAAGCTTCTGTTTAACGGGACTTTCCGACGTGTAGGTCTCCGTGGCCATCCTCTCCCAGCGGGTCCTAATTCTCTTCTTTTGGAACCATGTTTCAGATCAGTGCGTGAGGCCTCGCATATTTATGCCGCCGGACTGATGAATGTACAAGGCATCGACGACCAGTTACCTGTATATCCAGATGGAACACTCATGTGTGTCTCGACGAGGACCAAGGGACAGTTGTGGCCGTCTCTTATTGAGAAGGCTGTAAGTACCGTTTGCATCAACCACGCTTGCCGCATCTGAAGTCGAGGTCGCAGTACATGAAGCTCGCTGGCGGATATGACTTCGTTGGATCGTAGGTTTGCTCCTTCAGCACTGCCCTCGGACATCGATTGACATCTACGCAGAGATTCGAGTACTGACCTTCAGTGAGCTTACAATCTCGTCGCCGCCTTTTCTGAGCTCAAATTCGCTGCTCCAGTGCACTTGCGGGTTGGATACCGGAAGCCCTCGACATGAAAGGGTACGGCGCAACCTATGGTCCTGGAGCCCCTGCTTACCTTGAACCAGCTCCCACTTCCAACGCGAAAGGACATGGGATCGGCTCATGAAGGGCTATGTCAGCGGTATGTTACGGGCACTCGTCGGTTTGTGTATGTCACTAAGTATCGGAAGTAGGAACATGCGTGGCCACTCTGGGTACGGGCGAACAAGTGAGGACAACGGACGTTTCCCTGGCCCTCTTGCCGACCCACTGCTATGCTATCATCGGTGAATCCTCCTCATAGAACTATCGCCGCATGCGAGGCTGATAGTGGCCCTTAGGTGTCAGTGACTCCGGGCACGATCGCAGACTCACCATCTTCGACCCTTGGGTACCACAGCACGCCCATGAGGGTCTCGCACCCACAGAGGGGTTTGGCAAGAACCCGCAACGTGAGTCTTCGTGGGTTATCTAAGAGTAAGGTGTACTTCTCATAGGATAAATCAGGGACAGTTGAGCTATCGATGGATGCGGTCTACCAGCTCTTCGACGGCATTTATCTCAGCTGGGATCCTTCCATGTTCAAGCATCAGCTCTCCTTCCACGGGTACGCGAAAGATGACTATACAATAGCGCGTGAGTGTCGACTGACGTGAACGTAGAATGTGGAAACGAGACGGCAAAGGGAAGGATACCGATTCAGGTGAGCACCCACTCTTCCCTTGAGCCCTCCGTCCATTCCTGATCGATCGCGTCCAGCCACACACTCGAGGATGCAAGTGCACCTGAACCTCCCTACGGACGTTTCGGAAGGCGAAGAAGTGTGGGTGCTGCTAACTCGCCATGTTCGCAGCCATCGGTCGAAGGACGAGTATATCGCTCTCACGGCACATACCGGAAGTGAAACAACCTCCGCGTTTGTCGATGATGCGCTTTCTACGAAGGTCCGGCCATGATCACATCCATCTTGCTTGGGCGGGGTCGCAGCTGATCAGAGACTGACACAGGGAGAGTACACCAACTCACCTCACGTTCTAGTGAGTGATATGAATCTTGAAGTGGTTTATCTTGAGGCTGAACAGCCTTGTAGGTCAAGCAGAGCATATCCCGTGGGGAGGACTTGATCTCGCTCGTGGCATCATATGAGGGAGAACGCGAAGATGTGGGTTATACAATCACGGTCTACTCGAACTTGAAGGCGTCCGCAATCCCGCCGCAGAAGCTCCTTTACACGAAAGATGTAAGTGCGACTGCTTCCCCACACCTGTGCTTCAGACTCGCCATGGCCACGGGGTTCACCTCCTTGACAGATCGATGGGGCGTTCACCCAGAAGAGTGCCGGCGGGAACCACACCTTCCCGACTTACTACCTCAACCCGCAATATCACCTGCACGTCCATCCCCGTACCGACGCGACCTCGCGAAGCGGTAAAGATGCCCGAGATGCGAAGGCAACTGTGTACGCCACAGCAAGCACAGACCGACACGTCCCCGTCAACATCATGCTCGCCTGGTCCCAAGGCGGACGTATCAACGAGTCAGTGGCCTTTCAGACAACCTCACACTGCTTTCGTGTCACTAACTGTCGGCGGTTGGCCAGACTTGGCCATAACGACCTCGCGCTCTCTTCCGGACCCTACAGCTACGGATACGCACATGCACTCGGGCGCATACCGCGTACGTACCGCCCCGCATCTTGTGTCTATCAAGATGCTGACTTATGGGACAGCGGGGGACTACACGCTCGTCGTGTCCGTCTTCGAGCCCCGACACATCGGCAAGTTCGCACTGCGGCTGGAGTGCTCAGATCGCTTCGACATCACGCCCATTCAGCAAGAGGGCGCTGGCATGTTCTCCAAGGTCGCACGCGGGGAATGGTGCGATGCTTATCATTGGCACCGGCGTAGACCACGTATACTGACACTGACACATTTGCCGACGCCGCAGGGCCGCCGAGTCCGCAGGAGGAGGTCCAAGCTCCGGGAAGTACACATCGAACCCCATGTACGAGCTTAATGTCTCGGCCGCATCACAGCTCAAGTAGGTGTCATCGTTCGTGCATGATCTCCGACCGTTCACGGATGTACCCTCCCCGCAGGCTCCGTCTCCAACTCTCCGAGCCATCCCCATCCATCGCGCTCAATCTCACCATCTTCAACACGTCCACCGGGTCCACGCTCGGGCGCCACATTGCGACCTCGGGCCCGTACTCAGACGTCATCTCCGGCGTCGTCATCGAGAAGCTCACCCTCCAGCCGGGCCGGTACCTCGTCGTACCCTCGACATTCAAGCCGGGGGTGCTCGCGGGCTTCAGATTGATAGTCTATAGCACAGCGTCTGGTGTACAACTCAGCCCCGTCGAGCGGTAGCCTCATCGCCTTATGTGTCTCACGCTACCTGTACCGTACATGTACTCTCGGAATGTATACCCGCTTCGCATGCTCTCATCTCACCGCCGCCGGAAGGACGGCGACGAGAGCAAAAACTCGTTCACTCGCTTGAGCGTCACGCGCGATGGGTTCGCCGCGGGCCTGCTCGCGATAATCCACTGCAGGCGGGTCCGGATGGACTCTTTACTAGGACTCGCAGCTGGTGGCATGGACAACACTCGTCAGCGCCGAGCTTGCGTCCGATAGCATTGCACAAGACTTACCTTGCGTACCGGGCTCGAGCGGCCGTCCCTCGTCATCAAAGAACAGCTGAATCGCGGCCAGTGCGATCCCAACGCCCGCATCCCTCCCCGAGTCGCAACAGACGCATATCGCATCCCCGGTTGCCAGGCGGTCATTGATGTAGCGGGTGGAGGCGGGAAGGACATGCTGGAGGAAGTGTAATTGATCCTTCTTCCCCTCGGCGAGCCTGAGTCGCAGCACGTGGGGCTCACTGGACATGCTGTCGCTAGCGTCGCTGTCAGCGTCGGAGGTTGGTGGGGATGAGGAGCCGGTGGCTGAGACAACGACGAATGAGCATGGTCGGTCGACATCGGGCAGGGTCGGCGCCAGTTCGAACGGCATGTCAGGCACCGCTCCTATGGAGATGCGTCCATGGAGGGCTGCTATGGGGCTAGGGAGAGTCGTCCAGACGGCGCGACCATGGAGGACCTTGGACTCTGCGACAAGCTTTGCGACCACACAAGGCAGGTCTTCTCTGCTGCTGTTGAGCAGGGCGTTCTTGTGCTCCCAGAAGAGCTTCGGGGTCAGTCCCTATAATGACCAGAGGGTGTGAGAGCAAAGACAACCAATGTTAAAGTACCCAACAAACCATGCCCCAAAGCTCGTGATCGTCGCCCGACCCTTGGACGTACGAGTACCCATGCGAACGCCGCTCAACCCCTTCGCTGACCTGCTTGGATGCGGAGACGCAGACGATCGGGGAGTATTTCAACTTGTCCAAAGGACGCAGGGTGGGGAATACAGACGTGGATGGCGTAATCCATAGGGGACGAAGGGGCCGCGGGAGGGACGGCAGATGATATGAGGAT